AAATCTTCCGTGGTAAGGTTAATATGTGTGATATGCTGCAAAAAAGAAGGCCTTTTCTTGCCTTTCTCCTCACATGTGCTCCCTTTGAAAGGAAAGTGGTGAGACCTTTGCACACCTTTTTTTATCTTGTTCTTTTGTGCATCGTGTTTGGGTTTCTTTTTGTCTTCTCTTTGGTTGCAGGTGGGTTTCCCCTCGAGATGTGGCAGGTCTTTTTAACCGTGACTTTTTAAGGCAATCAAAGAAAAGAGGGAAGGTTATGTGGAAAGCTACAAAGGCAACTATTTGTTGGGTGATATGGGAAGAAAGGAATAACAGAATATTCTTAGAAAAAAGTAGAACCACGGAGGAGGTGATTGACACAATCAAAGTCAAAGTAGCTGTTATGGGCCCGGGCGTAGGATCTTGTCACGGGTCGGTCCACGGGGAGAACCTCTAGCTTCCCCTTGCCCCTCCCTTTGCGTGCAGACCCTATCGTGGCGACCTAAGGGTGATTTGTCCAAGAGATCACCCTAACTCTCCTCAACTCTTCTCTTGACTGAAATTCTTGGATGCCTTTATTCAATAATAGTGGCTCCTTAAATAGGAGATTACAAGAGTCCTGTTCATAGGGAGACTCCTTGCTAAATAGGGAGACCTCCAACTCTATCTTGATAAGATAAGACTGATAAGATAAAGATAAGTCTCTCTTAATCCTAATCTAATAAGATAAGATAATCTCTCTTAATCCTAATCTAATAAGATAAGATAATCTCTCTTAATCCTAATCTAATAAGATAAGATAATCTCTCTTAATCCTAATCTAATAAGATAAGATAATCTAATCTACTAACTTAATAAGATAAGAATAACAAGATAGTCTAATCTAATCTGCTGAATGGATAAAACTATTGCTGCCGAATTGGATAGGATGAGAGCACCGGATCATTGCTGCTGTTGCTCCCAATACGTGTCCACATCATTACTCCCCTCTTGGACTACGAGCTTGTCCTCAAGTTCGAATTCAGGATGGGTGTCGGGAAGCACCGTCAAAGGAATCCCGGAAAGGTGGGATGAGTTTGCCCTCCTGGATCGGGTTCCAATGAAGAGGGTTCATCCTCATCTTCCTCTTGTTTCACCAGGAGGCAGAAAAGTCTCTTGCACTTGTGCCCTGTTGAGTAGAGTTCATCGCAATTAAAACATTGTCCCCTCGCCCTGCGTTCCGCCATCTCAGCCCTGGACAAGTGCTTAATAGGGGGTGCAACGACACTGCTCCCCACACTGGATGCTGATATGGAATTATTGCTCGTCTGTGGCTTCCGTTCTTGGCCGGCTGCTAGATATGGAGCCATTCCGAGTGGTTCCGGGGATGCCCATGCTGATGGAGGCTGCCCCATACTGAAGGTTCCGCGGCTGAGTTGTAGTTTGCGTTCGAAGGCGCGAGCTATATTCATGGCTGTAACCAGGTTGGGGGGATTCTGCATTTCCACGTCCACCCGCAGGGGTTTTGCTAACCCAGCGGTGAACATGTCTGCCTGCTGGTCCGGTCGCACTGAAGATGCCCTCACGAGGAGAGTCTAGAACTGGTGTTGGTATTCTGCCACCGTGCCGGTTTGTTTAAGGTTAATCAGCTCGCCTAAGGGGTTGCTTGTCAGTGGGGGCCCGAATCTAAGAAGGCAGTAGGACTTGAACTGGGTCCAACTGAGCCCAGGTTCTTCCTGTTCTAATCGATAGAACCAGAGTTGCGCTTCCTCTGTTAAGTGAAAGGCGGCTAGGCTTACCTTATCCCGGTCATCTGTCCGTTGATTTCGAAAAAACTGCTTGCACCGGTACAGCCAGCCCAAGGGATTTCCGTTGCCGTTGTACGACGGGAATTCTAACCTGCTGTACTTGGGGATGACTGCGGCCCCCTGGTTGCCGAGCTTCTGTTCGCCGGAAGACTCCAGCAGATCTGGTTGGCGGCCGCTAGTGGTTGTCACCCCTTCTGTGTTCCTCTCTTTGACAGAAAGGAATAACTCCATCAGATGCCGTAGCTCCCTGACTTCGTCCTTAATTTCCCGTACTTCCGAGCTGGTCTCCATGAGCCAGTGCTCGAGTTCATGGACCCTGGACGACAGCTGCTCCAGATCACCCATGACGCCTTGCTCTGATACCAAAATGTTATGGGCCCGGGCGTAGGATCTCGTCACGGGTCGGTCCACGGGGAGAACCTCTAGYTTCCCCTTGCCCCTCCCTTTGTGTGCAGACCCTATCGTGGCAACCTAAGGGTGATTTGTCCAAGAGATCACCCTAACTCTCAACTCTTCTCTTGACTGAAATTTTTGGATGCCTTTATTCAATAATAGTGGCTCCTTAAATAGGAGATTACAAGAGTCYTRYTCYTAGGGARACTCCTTGCTGAATAGGGAGACCTCCAACTCTATCTTGATAAGATAAGACTGATAAGATAAGATAAGTCTCTCTTAATCCTAATCTAATAAGAT